CTGCATTTTAATTTTTAGTCATGTGTTTCGAGATCGTACGTAACTGTCTTGAAATCTCAGTGCAAGGCACACAGTGAACGCGGAAGGTTCTGAGCTGGTAGGAAAATAGCGTGAGAACATAAGGCAGATGTGTGTATAGAAATGTACGAAAGCAGGCGACTGTGCAATAGCAGTCTGGATCAGACCCAAAGGGTCGGAGGTCGAAGGGCTCAAGGAATAACGTCCGTTTCTCTTTCTCTCTCTGTTGCTCTCCGTTATGCTGATACTATGAACCCACTGCCCGACAAGCACATAGGGACTGTAGAATGTATTACAAATTCATGAAAAAGGATCTCTCTCGCATCTATTTTTCTCATTTTTCTGCATTGCTGAAAAATCGTTATCGACGATCTATTTAATAAATATCTAATAGATTTGACAAAAAAGACATTAATGCATGATAATTGCTAATTGCTAAATGATAATACAAAATTTTATGAAAATATAAAAAGTAAATTATCTTTTTTCTATAATAAGGTAATAAATCCTATAATAAGAAATTGTTCTATAACAGCATAGTTATAATCTTAATAACACTTGCGTGAAAATGTAAAAGCAGTAACATTTAGTAATAACAATTTTATATTAATTCTTCCTTGATCGAGATACGTAGCTTTTAGTATGTATTTTGGCAAAAATCCTAAACAATTTATGCAGTACAGAAATAGAAATAATTTTTTGAGCTGTGATGATATAATTAATGTTTTTTCCATATAAATAATCCGTTGTTGTTTTAATTGGCGATTTTTTGTTCTATTGGAAATTGGTCGTAATGAGCAAGACCGTTCAGTAAATAGATACAATTTTATGAACTGTTTTGATAGAAGGTGGAAAGGGGAGACACACAAATTGTCGAAACCATTATATTGTTCCCTCCTTATTAATGACTTTACAATGAAATCATAGCGTGCGTACATATATACACACATACACATACTTGTCCGCAGTGATACGCTTGCTCGCACAGGTAGCTTTTAACTCGTATTGACGGTCGCGTGAGAATGCAGGGGATGCAAAAATGCCGAGGTACAGTTTCCCACCTCAGATTTGGCAGCCACCCTTCGGGTCGCGCTAAACGTTGCATAAATAACAACCTGAGCCGTGTTACACTTCCGGCCATCTGCTTTATCGGAAATAACGGCGTTTAATCGCGGAATTACGGTAATCATGCATCGTTAAACTTGATCGAAAATTCAGCCGACTTGTAATATTCTTGAAAAGAAAGTGATGCGAGATCTAGATTTCTAATTCTATTTATATCCGTTTCCAAAGTATTTCCGTCGTCGCTTTTAGAGTGAACTTGTTGAATGAATCAATCGTTTCGTAATGGAACGAATAATCTCCTAATATAAATAAACCTTTTGTTATTTTATGTTTATTCGTTTTAGATAAGCGTCTTTCATGACTTCAATCAACTAAGTAATTTAACATCTTTTCAAATCAGCTGTGGTACTTTTAACAACTTGAAGTTAGCGACTATTATTCGCTCACGTGTTGCACTATTAGCAGAGAAAAATAATATAATTATAATTATAATTGGGCGATTATATATTCAGAAAAATTAGATACTGACATTTAGTATTTCTTTTAAATATGTAATCGATAAATTGTATAAATTTCTTTTTCTATATATATTACGCGTAACATGTAAGCTGATAATTTTCTCTGTTGGTGTAAACGAAATGTTAAGTTGTCAAAATAAACAACTGATTTGAGATATTATTGCCTCTATTTTAATTAGTTAAAGCGATACTGGAGTCGATGATAAACTCGAATAATGTCGATAATACAGAGATGATTGTCACTAACATAATCACGCTATCATTTTCGTATTTCTTATATATACAGAACTTACATGAATGTGTGTTGCTTTGTTTTACCATATTCAAACCTAACCATATACGTGTAAAAATTTTTTGGCAAACTTTTTCTATATTCTTAAGCTTCCAAATGTAGATGTGAAGGTAATGTTTTTCAAAAATTTTCTGTTTGGAGCATTCACACTTTCGGTACGTACAAGCTGCGGAATTTTTGGGTTAGGTAAATATTACTGACAGCTTGAGATTTTACATTAAAAATTTTTTATTCGTTTTTATCACATATCGAGCAATGTTCCTATTTATTTTTGCACGCACTTTCATTGCGTAAAAGCATTTATAATTCTGTGTAACCAATACGACGTAAACTTTGCAGAAAAATGTCAGTGTTCTGTTGGTAAAGTTTTCAGCTTCAGCATCATCTTAAAACTTTTGGGTACTTGCATTGTTCGTTTCTTTTTAATGACGTCAGAAGCAAGGAAACGCATGTTAGAAATTCTTGCAAAATACTTGTAAAATGAAATTCTTGCAAAATGAAATAAAAAGATATATCCGTAATACTTACAATCGATCGAGCAAATTTGTAAAATAGTTCGAATACTTCCTTTTTGCTATAACAATCAGTAATTTGCCGTTTTATTATCGTGACATACAATATATCTTTTTGATTTATCTCTTCACATGATTTTATCGCGTTTATTTATGGAAAATTATTGATTGTTAGAGCAGAAAGTGTTTGAAAGTGTTTACTATTTTATAGATTTGTTTGATCGATTGCAAGTGTTGCTTTACAAATATATCTTTTTATTTCAATGTATTTCATAAAAATTTTCAGCATACGTTTCCTCGCTTCTAACGTCATTAAAAAAAGATGGACGTTGCGCGAGTGCTTAGAAGCCTTAACAGTAGTAAGGAATGAATATTTAAAAACGGATGCATCTGATCGATAATTGTTAAAAACTCCTCTTGATTTTATAGAAGCAGTCAAGCATTTTTTTATTATTAGTGTACTTTTAAATTTTTGACGCAAACCGAACGCGTTTTGTAAAAAAAAGCACAATTAACGGTAAAAACTTGTTGAATCTCCTCGTTTTATTGTATATCAGCTCCGGTTTAGTAGGAAAGAATCATACTTCGTACGTGCGTGGCGAACACGCTGAAAGAAAGTAGAGGCACAGCAGTCATTAACCAATTATCTACCCTGTTAATCTTCCCCCTGGTGGTTAGTCGTCGGCACCCGCATAGTTAACGTTGCGCATCCACGAGAATTCATTTAACTGTTGTTGCCGAATGATTCACGTTGCCCCGTGTCTTTCATCGAGAAATCAATTCTCATTAGAAGCTTCATCGCGTGCTGCGGGTGGCGCGTGTCGATATGCTTCAAAATCGTGTACACAGCACCCTGATCCGCGACACTCGTCAACTCGTACTCGTTGTTGACGAGTCTGAGGATCCTCGACGTTTTCCCAGGATAGCGGGATTTGCGTTACCACGGTTTACATAGTCGATTTCCTTCTTTCAGGAGATTCTTCAGTCAACTCTCGTTTAATGGGATTAAAAATTGAGAAATTTAATAAAGAATTCAAATGGAACACAGAGACTCAAAAGAAAAATTCAACAAGAATTCAGTCGTATGTCATCAATTCTGAGTTTATTTTCAGATGCAAAAAGAATTCTTTAGAATTCAATTCGGTGAACAGAATTCTTTTACATCTAAAAATAAACTCAGAACTTGTAACATATGATTGAATTCTTTTTGAATTCTCTGTGCTGTCTAAGAAGTCTACGGGGGAGCTGTTTTTCATGTATCATTTGGAATAATTCTCTTTCTATGCGCATATTATAGGAGAAGGAGGAAAAAATAAAGAAATTGTAAGGGGATATTTTAATACAAGATACGTGACTTAGGAGTTAGATTCAGCGCAAATCGCGCAAATTTTATTCAGATACTCGAGTATCTCTTGATATTTAATGCTCGATGATTTTATAATGTAGATGTTTAAAGACGTATTTGAATATAAAATTGAAAGACAAATTGTTGAACATACATTTAAATTAACCAATAAAATAAACTATTGGTCTTTTCAATCAACGGTTTTGGCGCGTGGATATCTGGACACAAGGTGGTCGTTATAAAAATACTCAAACCAGAACTGGAAGTTATTATTGACCTTCTATGTGCGTACGTTGGTGAAAAGTTCGAAGAGGAACGGCCTGTGAGAAACGGTTAACGGATGAAACTGACATAACTGGATTCGTGGCTATTAAAGGGTTGAAGAAATCGTTGAGATATGTAAAGAAGAGGAGATCGATTTAGCTGCTGCATGAGATACAAGCTAAACCGGTAACTTGCGTCATGCAAAGGGGATTCGCACAACGGACAAGAAGAAGCAAAAAAAGGAGAAAAAAAAGAAAAATGCGCAGTTACACTGTGAAGATACGCAATGCTAAAGAAAATAAAATTTACGTATTCTTATGTTGGCCGGTGAAAAGAAATAGATAGATAGATAGATTAAGAGAGAGAAAGAAAGTAGGAGTTCTATTCGAGTTCTCTGCATTCAAGACTTGGAATCGCCAATTGAATTAGCATCGTGACTGAAGATATGACTTTAAAAAGGGTCTCATTCCGTACTAACTTCGCATAAAATCAAAGTTGGCGAAGAAAGTTCTCCGTCGAATTTCATTTTGCCAAATGCGAGTGGATTTTCTCTCGCGGATTCTCTTTTCTCAACGAGAATCATGCAAGAGTTCGGCGGGAGTTTTCGGAGCCATTTCGGCTTGTCTTCTCTCTTCTTCGCACCTGGCGACTTCGGGGGCCTTCACGGTTATCAGGGGCCACTCGCACCCCTCGTTCTGGGGCAGAAACCGACACGTGGACGAGAACCGACTTGTTACGCAGCCGGGGAGGGACAGGTAAGAAGCAAGCGGACGTACAGGAGCAAGGACGTCTTTGACGTAAGCCAGATCTCTTCCCCCTCGATGAAGATGAGGGAAAGACGAGGAGGGAGCCGAACCTGAAAAGAATCATTGTGCTCGGTCATTTTCCCAGGACTTCCCTGGGCAAAAGGTCCCCCTCCCTTTCTGTCTACCTCTACGTGCACCGAAGGGTCCGACGAGGTTGGGTATATAAGGGCCCGCTCGGCTTCCAGTGACACAGAACATCACAGTCAACACTGAGAAGAAGACGTCTCGGCTTCTTCGACCGATCGACCGTACTGGTCACGGTCGAGGAAGACCCGAAGAGGAGGCTAGAGGACGAAGCCGAAGAGGAAGTGAGCCGCAGTTATCTAATCAGCGATCGTCATTATTTTCTGTCGCAGATCCGGTCGGAGCGCACGTCAACAGTCACGATGGTGAGTATAGTTTCGGTTTTGTCCTGGCTAGAACGTGATCTTGGTGCTTCGATAGACTACGCTAAAAGAGTCGCCCGAAATCGTCCTTTCGTCTACGCGGATCTTCGATATTCTGCCTCGTGAAACCGGAAATTCGCACCCTCAGCTGCTGACTAATAATCGAGTCGATCGTGCGCGAGAAATTAAACGAATTACACTTTACCAAGAGAGAAAATAAGACAAAGCAAACGTCAGTTTTCAATCTTTATTGTTGGTAATACAGGGTAAATGAAAAAATTTGGGTATATCTCGTTTCTCATATCATATCGAATACACGAATTAGAGCTTTGTACCGTGTAATTGGAATAACAATTCTGTATTAACGCGCAAAATCTATATTATCCTGTTCTTCCAGTACAACTAATATATAGAGAATTAAACATGTATATATATCTACAGACTTCGCAAAATTTCTCAAACAAACAAACAAATAAATGTCCCGATATCTTCAAGAGGGAGGATTCCGAAAAATCGAGTTCTTCGATTCGCTTAGTTTTTCGCGCACGAAAGTCGATTATGCGATACGGTTTAATGAAATGAGGACGCTCGTGTAATGACATAATTCAATATCACGATGCATTTCGGAAATTTATTATAAAATCTTAAATTAAATCTCAAAAGGCATGCAGCGTGTTTATCGACTTCAGTTTAATCAGCACAGGTTCGAAGGAGCGGTTCGACGTTACGTATCTTAACGACGTTCTGATTTCATTAAATATTAGCGTACGTGAAAATTTTCGAACGGGCAGAAAATCATTATGTTGCTGGAATCGATAAACAGATGGGAAAAATTGCCACGATGCATCGAAATATATCTGCAGAGTAATCGCGCGACGAGAGTCGAGATCGAGATCGTTCGCGAGACAGAATAGCGTGAATCTACGATCGAAATTCCGAGTTACGCGCGAATTGATATTATTAGGACCTACTCTATCCAGGCACTAATATCCTACCAAAATGTGATTTGAAATTGGTTCGTCTCTCCTTTCCGTCGTTGTGCTCGCAAATTCTGTCGCTTTTATCTCGTCTGCCTCGTGCCTGGTCCAATTCTGTTCTGCGTGTACGTAGTAAATCCTGCAAAATCTCCAGCTGTCCCTGTCATTGTCGGTTGAAAAATGGGCGCAATCCTTGGTCTGCTTATTTTGTTCTACAACGTGTTCTATCATTGCTCGTGCGTGAAGACGTTATATTACTCTGAATGGTATGACATACCGCGAGAAAATGTTTCACGAAATCTTCATGTCAGTAGATCACCAACAATACGGTAGATTGATCCAAATTTTCGAGCGTCGCGAGTTGTCTGCGAAACATGATTCGGCCGCGTACCACAATCATTTGGATAATCTTCGTTTTCAGATCGTTGTTAGATCGTAGTGGTGACGCTAACACAATTTCAGCTTCTCACTGTACCTGTAGATTTTCAGAACGTTTTCTTTTGCTGCTGTTATATGTACCTCCGTAAGAGGTACACTTACGAAAAAGAGCTGCAAGTTTCAATATCGATCGTAGACCCCCGCGCAGTTCGATGTACAGATCCGCCAGTGTAGTTAGTCTCTCTCTCTCTCTGTGAACTAACAAACGCATGAATACATCGTGTGTGTGCATAATTTACTTTCGATAGTTTAGACGCTGCTCTGTACCGACTCGACTCAACCTGACCTTGCATTTCCATCTGCTTAATAAACATGCATGCCTAGATATTTCGCACCTAGTGACAAGCATACATTTTACGTACCGCGCACCTAGAATTGTCCGTACGTCACACTGTTCGCATTGTATGTAAGATAATAGATAGACAAATGCGCAATTCTTCTCACGGAAAACAGTAACTTTGTAAGATAGCATTTTGAACGTAAATCAATAGCGGACGTAAGTAAAAGATTTAAGCAGGTGAAATATCATCTTTACATCTCAGTTCCCCAAACATGACATAGACGAAGTTGATATCGACATATGTACGTCCTGATGTAATTGCAACGCGTGTTACCCGTTTTATCTCGTTGTTAATTGGCCATTCTGTTATATACTGAATTAAATTTTTATTTAATCGCGAGATGAAAGTTGAATGTGCTTTTCCGCAACAGTTTAATGAGGATTAATAAGAAATTAATCGCGACTGTTATCTGATCCAAGTTTGAGATGAGTCAATGCAGTGCTGTTTTAATAAGAAATAGAACACATAAAATAGATTCGTTGAGAAGCAATAACAATTTTCGAATACAGTTTGGACGAATTACTCTAGAGAAATTGGTATGCCTGTAATATAGAATTTGTCTAATAATCACAAGAATATTTATAACGGAAATTTAGTGTTCTATAAGTCGATTCATAAAAAATAGAGCAATATAATAGTACATTCTTCGAGTTCAATTGTTGCCTACGATTTCTCAACGCTGTTATTAATGACATGCTTATACTTCGTATAACCAACATAACATCCAAATAATCGATATTACAGTTTATAAAGAAAATAGTTTACTGATTGACACTTCACAATCTCGACTTTCAAATCAGGAAATTTTCATGATAGAAACAAGTTGTACAAAAATAAGATCGGATTTAAATACACGTCTTATTGTTCGCGCAAAATCACTGGCTTAATATGAATACTTATATTATCGAATTAACGAATTCCAATATTTTCAAATATATACGGTTTTGGTTTCAATATTCGGAATGTAATAGAAAGGACTTTTGTAAATCTAAATCGGTTTATCTGACCAAATAATAAGATAGAGAACAATTAAAAATTAGTTCATAATTTATCATTATATCAGAAAAAACAATTGGTATATATCAGCGGGATTTCACGTATCATATTTTGGCACAACAAATTAATTTTCTTGTGAAATATATAGAGAGTACGCGTTACTCGTGTAGCGAAAAGAGTGAACAGTTCTGATCTAAATTTTATTTAGATTATACAATTATATATAAAATTAGATAGATTTGTAGAATTATCCAAATATACAATGGGCATTCAAATATTTTTTAATTATAAACATTCAATATACGTATATATATAATGTGTCACGCAAATGTAAATTTTACCGCAACTAAATTTTTATCTCTGGTGTGTCACAAATATTTTATGGTTCATAATTTTATTCGGCACTATACGTACTGATTTACTTTCTCACGATCCAAGAAACAATAATAATGCAAACTTTCGATATACAAAAACATTTTCAATATAAAAAGAAGAGAAAAATATGTAGTTCTAGTCTTAATAAAAAAGTTCTTACGTTGATACAATATTTTTTGCAAGTAGTAAGATTTGTGCTCGACATAGAAGTTCTACAACAAAAATGATAAAAAACAGATTTTTAACATTTGACTCGTTAACAGATCTGATTATCTAAACGATGTTTCAGTATATTATTTGAAAGATTAATTAAACGAATAAATAAATCCTGTATAAACTTGGCGAATTTTGATAATAGTAAAATTGATTTATTGCCTGACAACCTTGAATCATTACAACACAGAACGCGACTATTCTTTTATGTACAAGAATATATATAATTATGTTTTGCAAAGACCATATTCCGCTATAAAATTTGCAACAAAGCTTTTAACATTAATTTTTAGTACAGTAGTCCTAAATTCTATCAATTTTAACAAAACTAAAACTATTTGATACATATTAGTATCTGAAAATTATATATACCTTGATTCAGATTGCAATAAATAATTAAGAATTCTATGTCGAAATATTGTAAAGAAAAATTATATTAGTATTTTATATGTATTTCAGAATAGAAAGAAAGAAAATGAGTGAGAGAATGTGTGAGTGAATGAGAGACAGGGAGAGAAAGCTGCTTCACTTGAGTATTTCATCAAGAAAATGTGAAGAGCATCAGTTTCCTGTTTATCGTACTTATACCGAAAGTAAAGGCATGCCGGTCATATCAGCACACGAAACTCGCATAAACACTGCATTGATTCGGTCGCCTAACACATTTATAAACAAAATCGGTCTTTTAAATACGATTCCATGCATAATCAAAAGCATTTACTTTTCACACTTTGTTGAGAGAATACGTGCGCAACATAGTATCATTCTTTATTCAATACATATCATATTCAACCAATTAAATTTGGAGATAAATTCTAACAAAGAAATTTGCCTGTCAAGCAAAGCACCTATCACGGCGAACAAAAAAAAAAATAAACTGTGTTTTCGGTTTGAAAATTTACCGTACTCTCTATAACAGTAAAAACTATCTGTTGCCATATCAAAATAATATACACTTTTCCTAAATTCGTTACGATACTTTTCTGAAATAGGTTATAGTGTGAAAAAATATACATATAAAAGTATAAATAGTTTTTTGAAATAGACACAAATTGATCCACTTTTCACAGAGTCTGTCATTGAATAAATTACTTGAATTTACTTTTCCTTGTTGAATCAATATTACAAATTACTTCATAAATTCTATTTTCTTTATTCTCTCTTAAACTGTTATCGCACCATAACAATTTGTGAATCGTATTCCAATTAACAGCTAGTAACATTTCCTTGAGAAAAATGGTGTAATCATATGTTGTATCTAAAACGACGTAAGCTTAGAACAAAACAATTATGCAACAAGTAATCCAATAATGATCATAACATTCCATAGATAGCTTTTTGGCTGTACGAAATTGGTATTCAAATAGTAAAGATTGTTTTAAATGAGAGAAGAAACAGAAAAATCTTGAATACCGTTAATATCTCCAGCTGCATTTATAAAGAAAAAAAAAAGTTCCTTGAAGCTTTTTATTCTTATATGGCAGTACCTTGGAATTGATTTACTCTGTCGGAAAATTATCAAAAGAAAAGAAGAAGATCGAGGAAAAGAAAGAAATAAATGAGAAAGACAGATATAAAAAAGAAATTATAAAAAAAGCTGAACGAAACGGAACTGAATTTATACGCATACATGTTTATGAAAAACTAATTTTTATAATATCAA